ATATATATATATATATATATATATATATATATATATATATATATATATATATATATATATATATATATATCTGGTTTAACTTGGTTTGAAATGTTGATCTTATACTTGCAAATTCTTATGTGTCTGTATGTTAATCCTTCCAAGTGTGGAACCACTTCTTTGCATAAATTCTTTTACTCCCTCCGCATCTCAATCATTCACTCATCCCTTTGTCCATCTCCCGCTTTTGCTTTTGTTATTAGCATCAGAACCAACCTGTTTTATCTTGATATCATAGTCTTTAGTTGGTATCAAAAGCCTCTTTTTTCTTGCAACACGTTATAGAATTGGTCACTCGTACTTTATATTGTTCGTCCATAGTTTATGCATGTTTTGCCAGTGCTACTGTTGCTGGTCGCCGTTGATCGGGTTTGGGGATTTGTGAGTACAGCTAAGTTCTGTTTAGTTGACTTTTTGATCTCTGTGTAAGAATCGATTTGGTTTATATTTTTATCTTTTTGATTCTCGGTCATCACATGGGCCTTCGATTTAGGTGAGGGTTTATTTTTTGTTTAATTTTGAGACTTTTTATTTTATTGCTCTCGGGGATCATAATGATGTTATTTTTAATAATATAATATATATATATATTTTTTTGAAATGGTTTTACACATTTATCAGAAGTCAATCAAATCCATAAGAAACTTTAGTCATTAATTTTGCTTGGTTAAATGAGAAAAATTAGCTTTCGATTGGATCAAATTAAATTATAATATTTCTTAGAATCATAAATGTAATAGTGGTATTGGCTTCAGATGCTTTCGTTATTTTTTTTCAGTTGTAGGTATATTTAGAAACCAGATAATAATTATTGTGACGTAAAAATTATCTTTAAAGGATTACACTTGGCTGGCTTATGAGGATAGTAAATATTATAAATAAATAATCTTTTTCTTCCTCTATGATGAATTTTAAATGTTGTTAGGGATATTTTACATCAAATGTTTATATGAATGATTATAAAATCTTATATGGAAGAAAATCATGTGGCTAATCGATTAGTCGCTCATACTGGAGCCAATAAATTCTTTGATTTTTGGAGGAATTTTTATCTTTTGGATTTGGATATATCTTTCGTTGATATATCAATTTTAGTAATTAAGTTTTTTAAGTTTTCTTTTAGAATATATATATATATATAGTTTATGCAGCTATAATTTGCACCTTCGTCTTGGCTGACACAAAGACTTAGAAGAGAGAGGTACAGTACTCCCACTCCCACTCCCACTCTGTGACCAAAGATGGCCGTTGTGCTTGAAGCCTTCATCTCCGGGCTGGTCGGTACGTTGATGGACATGGCTAAAGAGGAGGTGGACTTGCTGTTGGGCGTTCCCGGGGAGATCCAAAAGCTCCAACGCACTCTCCGCAACATCCAGTATGTCCTTCGCGACGCCGAGAAGCGGCGGATCGAGGACGAGGACGTCAATAACTGGCTGATGGAGCTCAAGGATGTCATGTACGACGCTGACGATGTCCTCGACGAGTGCCGGATGGAGGCCGAGAAGTGGACTCCTCGTGAGTCCGATCCGAAGCCGTCCACCTCGTGCGGATTTCCCGTCTTTGCTTGCTTTCGCGAGGTCAAGTTCAGAAAGAAGGTGGGCGTCAAAATCAAGGTTCTCAACGATCGGCTGGAAGAGATCTCGGCCCGAAGGTCCAAGTTGCAACTCCATGTGTCTGCGGCGGGACCAAGGGTGGTTCCTCGAGTTAGTCGCATAACTTCCCCCGTGATGGAGTCTGACATGGTTGGCGAGCGACTGGAGGAGGACGCCGAGGCACTGGTGGAGCAGCTGACAAAGCAAGATCCGAGTAAGAACGTGGTGGTGCTGGCAATTGTGGGGATCGGCGGCATCGGAAAGACCACCGTCGCTCAGAAGGTGTTCAATGATGGTAAAATCAAAGCCAGCTTCCGCACCACCATCTGGGTGTGCGTGTCCCAAGAGTTCAACGAAACGGATCTTCTCAGAAATATCGTTAAAGGTGCTGGTGGAAGCCATGGTGGAGAACAGAGCAGGAGTCTGCTGGAGCCCTTGGTGGAGGATCTCCTGAGAGGGAACAAGTTCTTGCTGGTGTTGGATGATGTTTGGGATGCTCAGATCTGGGACGACTTGCTCCGCAATCCTTTGCAGGGAGGAGCAGCAGGGAGTAGGGTGCTGGTGACCACCAGAAACGCAGGGATCGCGAGGCAAATGAAGGCGGCCCACGTCCACGAGATGAAGCTGCTGCCTCCGGAGGATGGCTGGTCGCTCCTGTGCAAGAAGGCGACGATGAATGCAGAGGAGGAAAGGGATGCCCAAGATCTCAAGGACACAGGCATGAAGATTGTTGAGAAATGCGGAGGGCTTCCCCTGGCCATCAAGACCATCGGAGGGGTCCTCTGCACCAGAGGACTCAACAGAAGTGTGTGGGAGGAGGTTCTCCGCAGCGCCGCATGGTCACGGACCGGGCTTCCCGAAGGTGTGCACGGAGCACTGTATCTGAGTTACCAAGACCTGCCGTCTCATCTCAAGCAATGCTTTCTCTACTGCGCCCTGTTCCGAGAAGACTTTGAGTTTTACGGGCCTGAAATCGTCAGATTATGGATAGCCGAGGGGTTTGTCGAAGCACGAGGAGATGTCAGCTTGGAGGAAACAGGGGAGCAATATTACATAGAGCTGCATCATAGGTGCCTTCTACAATCGCTGCAACCTTTGAGTGTGGACTAC